AACCTGACTCTAAGAAAGAGAAGCATTGAATCCATAATAGTAAGAGTGAGTGACAGTGGTAGCTCACGGGGGCTTAGGTCCTGCTTACACCTAGGTGCTGGGGCTGGCTTTGCAGGGTCCTGTGCAAGGACAGGAGACTTGGCTTTGGGATCGTGGGAGGTGGAACTTGCAAAAGAGGTCCCCTTCATAATGCTGGATCCTCTAACAGGTGTAAAGTCTATGACAAAAGGCCAAGAAAACCCTGCTGTAGGCCCTAGGAAGTGATGAGAAAGCTTGCTAGGGCTTTGGGTAAAATGAAAAAAAATACACACACACACACACACACGCTAGAGAAATTACCCCCAGGCCTGTGATAAGCACTGGTTTGAGGCCTTGATATTTGTTAACCACCTAGAGTATGAGCCACATACTGAGGAATTACATAAGAACTGGTCTGGGGCCCTGGACATTCCTAGTAACTTGCCAGAAGCAAATGCAAAACGGTTCTCCATAAATTTCCCCCATGGTCTAGGTCAGATGGGACCATCATAGGGAGACAATTATAAAACATCAATGAAACTGTACAGAGAGGAGGACATAAGACAAGTACACGTTTCTTATCAGCAGGCACAATAAGAAAAGTCACATCCCAAGAATTGCAGATAGCGAAATAAGGTAAAAGAGATAATAAAACAAGTATGCCAAAAATATTAAATGAGCTACAAAAAAGGGAGGGGGGAGAGAAACCCTCATGAAAAGAACAGTATGAGAAAAACAGGAGGGTTTTCTAAAAAATCAAATAAATCTTTAAGGACTTAGCAACTAGTCTCCAGTATGAACAAGTCAATGGAAAAGTTAACAGCAGAACAGAGAGAGTTGAGTTAGTGAGGTAGAAGGTGGCCCCCCCAAAAGTATCCAAAAGTCCACGAAGAGAGATAAAAGGAAGGAAAGAATAACTATGAGACGAAGAGACGTAGGGGAGAGTAGGAAACTCCAGCATGTACCTACTGAAAGTCTAGAGCAGACTTGCAAAGATGGTGGAGAAGCACCCCTGAAGAAGATAATAAAGGAGAGCATTAGAAACTAAAGAAATAGATGAAAGCACCACTTAAAGGAGCACAGGTACTCCCAAGCTGATGGCCCCAAACCGTTTGCAGTGCGGGGTCCTTGCAGACACTGCTGTGAACGTGTGTCGGTGTGCCCAGGAGTGCACGCACGCAGGGCTGGGGTGCTGTGGGGGTACACGGTCCATCCACCATCCACCGCGCCCTTGCAGACCCAGTGTGGGGATCTCCGAACCTAATCTGTGGGTCCTGTGACCCTGCTGTATGACTGCAGCACACAGGGCCCAACGGTTTGTTTACCTGGAGAGCATGTCAGGAGCATCTGTGTGCAGGGTCCACACCTCCCCCAGCTCCCGCTGTCTCCGGGTGCTGGTCGTTGCCGTGTTACTTCGATGAACACTGAACGGTGGAATCACACACGTCCGTGCCTATTCCCCCTTCCATTCTCCCTGACCACGTTCTCTGCCTCTGCGTCTCTTAGGATCCCATCCATACTCACATTCCTGTATTAGGTTTGACTCTCCCAGGAGAGCAGGATTCCTGAGTACCTTCAGGGCTGAAGCTCCTGCTTCCCTTACCCTAACCTACTTCCCAGACTTCGTCCCCCACCACACCTCCCCAGCACATTCAGGGGCTCCCTAGGGGTAATATGAGGGAAGGTGCAAAGTACAGGGCAAAGAACATGATATTTGGGAAGAAGACACCTGAGTTATGGTCCTAGAGTCAATATTTACAAGCCGGTGAAACTTAGTGAAAACCTCTGTACTTAAATTGTTTTGCCCAGCAATAAAATGTGAATTAATACCACCTATCTTCATTCTTTTGAAAAATATTTGAGTGCTTAAACTGTCCCAGGGATGATTCTAGGTGCTGAAGACAGCAGGGAAAAAAACCAGTAAGATACCTTTTGGGGTCTTTACCAGGATTAAAGAAGACCCTGCTACAAAGGGCTTAGAATGCTTGCAGACTTAGAGAATGTGCTTAGCAATGTTTTTGCTTTATAAATATTTATTGAGTACCTATGATGTTGCAGTCGGTATTGTAGCCACTGAGGATATGGTATTTTTTAAATAATTTTTTATTGTTATGTTAATCACCATACATTACATCATTAGTTTTTGATGCAGTGTTCCATGATTCATTGTTTGTGCATAACACCCAGTGCTCCACGCAGAACGTGCCCTCTTTAATACCCACCAGCAGGCTAACCCATCCCCCCACCCCCCTCCCCTCTAGAACCACTGAGGATATGGTATTGAGCAAGACCAGGGGCAAGAGGTGAGAAAATAAACAAGCAAAATAAAGGAGTCCTTTAATTTCAGAAAGCCATATGCTTGCATGATTCACATGAAAACAGTAAGAGCAAACAAAAGTACCGTGGAGATCAATGGGGAAGTTTTATTTCAGAAGCTTAACCAAGCCAGCCACTTCAACAGTAATGCCAGGTGTGGGGAGACAGCGAAGGACAGCAGCAAACGGTGACATAGCCCACGGGGCACAGAAAGCCCCGCCTGAAGCCTGCAGGATTATCAATGGTAAGCAGCATCTCTTCCTCCCACTGGGAATGGGGTTCTGGTAAAGCCCTCAGATCCTGGGCTTCTGATAATGACTCCAGAACCAGTCTTATTTGTGGCTATTCTTAGTCAAATCATCTGTAATTCTTTGATTCTCCTCCAACCTTACTCCCATCTTAGACATTTCGACTCCCTGCTCTCCTGTGATGACCTGGGGTTACAGACCCACAAGGTTGAAAGAAATCCCAGCAGTCATCTCATTTCCACCACCTCGCAGTAGGAGGTGCACCCTCAGAAGGCAGCCCTGGGGAAAAGAAGTTCTGGACCGGGAGTCAGCAGACTACAGTTGGAGGGCTGGCCCACGTCCACTTTGGTCGGTCTGTTTACTGACCCATTAGAGGTAATGATCCTCATCTCTAGCAGTTGCGATGGGGAGTAAGCAAAATGGCCTATGTGAAAGCTCTTTGGGAACCCAAAATGCTCTAGAAGTGAGGGCAGGATTGATCTAGGGGCACGGATGGCAGCCAGCTCCTGGCACCGGGGGAGTGCTGTGGCCCCTTCTCCTGAGGAGACCTGTGCCCTGCTTTTGTGAGCCCACCATGTGGGACATAGCCTTGCTCCCAGGGGTCCTTCTGTGACTCAGTGAGTCTCTTCCCGAAGGAAGCGGCTAAAGTTGTCATGGCTAAAAGTATCTGCCTCAACTGACCTTTGGAAAATTCGTTGGTGTATCTCCTCTATAAGCCCAACATCTGAAGATTGTACCTCCTGGCTTTTGTTTCTGATTAGAAAAAAGCAAACAGCAACAACAACAACAAACCAGTCCTTGTCTTTAGTCTGAGAGGATGTTAGCCTTAGAAAATTTCAAGATGCAGATAAACTAAACAGAACTGTTCAAGTTTTACAGGAAACTGGACATTTGGAGAATGCCAAGTGAGGCACTGTGCTGTGATTTGTAAACTGTTGTCCTTCTCACTTCTGCCCCCCAGCCCCCTCCTATCCGGGCCTCCAGCAATTTCATATCTTAATTTAATCACCAACCCCTTACTTGTAGCAAAAATAATTTTTCTATGTGACCTCAAAGTGTTTTGGGGCCACATTGAGCACACCGAGGAGGACCAGACACAGCCTCCTCTCTCCAGGACCCTCCCTGCACCCTGGTGGCTCCTCGGGGGACTGTAGAGGGCTGGCAGAGAGACAGAGCTTGCCCGCCATCGTAATTACCGACTGATGTGTGCGGGGGAGTGAGGGGGAGGTGACCAAGCTGGTAGCACGAGAGGAGTCCCGTTAGGGCTGACCAGTCTGCCTTTGCTCATACAGGGAGATCTGGGAAGACCCCCTGAAAAAGTGACCTTGAAGCCGAGATCCGAGTGGAAATAACAAGGCATCAGAAGCAGGTCAGGGGAGGAGAGGTCCTAGAGCCTTCCAAGCAAAGGGAACTTTGTGCAAAGATATAGGGCAGGAAGAAGCTTTGCATGTTGGAGGAACTGAAAGCCTTGTGGCTAGGCTAAGGCACAGAGCAGGGGTGACTAGGGTGGGAGGGAGACAGCAGGGGACCAAGGTCAGGTCAGGTCAGGCATAATCCCATAGGCGCATCAATCTCTGTGGTCTCTACCCTAGGAAACCTATTTGAGAAGATGCAGAAGGTTAGGGCGGCGGTGGAGGTGGAAATGTAGAGAAGGGGGACACACTCAAGAGATGTTTCCAGGGGCGCCCGGGGGGCTCAGTCGTTAAGCGTCTGCCTTCGGCTCAGGTCATGGTCCCAGGGTCCTGGGATGGAGCCCCGCATCGGGCTCCCTGCTCCGCGGGAGGCCTGCTTCTCCCTCTCCCACTCCCCCTGCTCGTGCTCCCTCTCTCGCTGTGTCTCTCTCTGTCAAATAAATAAATAAAATCTTAAAAAAAAAAAAAAGAGATGTTTCCAAAGAGATGGACTAGAGGAGTTGCCCAGGATTTGGATAAAAGGAGCGCGGGGAAGGGAGGTGTCAGGGTGCCATCCAGGTTCTGACCTGCCAAAGAGGGGCATCCAGTGTCCTGACCCCCACTGTCTGGATGCTCATCATCAGTGTGAGCCGTGGGGGCCAGGCTGGCCGGTGCACACCATCAGGTGGTCTCGTCCTTCCAGCACGGAGGCTCACATCTGGAGAGTGACTGAGCGGGTAGCTGAGGGAGAGAGGGAGCAGGCAGAGGCAGGGGGGCTGAGCAGAGGCCCCGTGGGAGGTGCACCAGGAGGTGGGGGAGGAGAGCAGGGACACTGATGGGGGGACAGAGGGGCTGGGGGCGCTGAGGTGGATAAGGATTGGGG